ATTGGATGGGCGGCACTGCGCGGGCTCTTGCGCAGTTGCCCGCGTGAGCTCCTGGAGTACGCCTTCGGCTTGGACGCGTTTCTGGCGCACTTCCCGCACCCTGCCCCAGACCACCGCGGCACGCCGTCGCACCACTACCCGACACAGACGACCGCGTCATCGCCGTGGGTGCGAACGGCGAGGTGGACCGGTCCCAACGGCAGCGAGAATTCCATGCAATTCCTGTGCTGCCCCGAAGACGTGGTGTGCGACCGTCAGCATGGAGTTGTCGACGAGCTGTGCGAGTCGTGCCGCATACCTCTGTGCTGGCAGTGCCGCGGCATGTTCGCAAAGACTCGAACGGTGCGGGGGCGAATCCCGCGGCCGGCCATCGCCAACGACAACTTCGTCGGGTTCGTTTCGGCTTTCTGGGAAAAGCACAGACCTCGGTGGATCGAGATGGCCGCAGCTACGCCAGTGTGGACGAGTTTGATGGCGTTCTACGTCGAGGGCGATAAGGGCCACCTTATGAACAACCAGGCGGGGTGTGCGAAGTAGGGCGGCACTGCCCCATCCCCGTTCTTTTCGGGCCCCGCCCCCCCCCCCTCTGGACTCTGCAGTGAGGCGTAATAGCGCGCAGGGGGTAGTGGCGCGCTGCTCGCACAGCGACCCCCAGAGGCCATGCATCCGCACAGTCGGTGCGCTATCCGCGGCAATCTGGCCAGCTTCCTGGTGCATTGGGACGACGCGCTGGAGCGCCTCCTCGCCATCACGGAGAGTTCCAGCGCTGCTGCGGCGCTGCCCCGCGACGGCGAGACGCTGGCCCACTTGATGCGCTTCCAGTTCCGGATGAAAGACAAGGACATGTCGAAGCACTTGAAGCACATGCGTCTCCGCGCTCACGTCGTGCTGCAACTCGGCTGGGAGCTCATCGACCGCGGCCGCCCCGCTTTGTGCAAAGCTGCTGCTGGCGATCCCGCGGCAATCAGCGCTGCCAGGGAAGCTTTCGAGAGGCGCGTGAAGCAGTGCTACCCGTGGGTTGGCACTGCCGAGGACGCCGAGGGAAAGGTCCCGCCAGCTGTGGACAGAGCGACGGTGGTGGCGGATCCGTCCCGGAGCAGCGTGCAGGAGAACAAGCACGCGACTCCGGCGCTGGCCAGCACTGACGTCGCGTCTCTTTTCGACGATGCCAGACCGACCTCCTGCGCGCCCACAGATGCAACGTCCCGGCAAAGGACCGCGGGTCAGCGTCAGCAGCGAGCCATGGACGGCGGGCCGGTCGCCCCGTACCTCGCCGACGCAACCGCGTTGGAGCAGTGGAATGGGAAGTGCCCCGCGATTTCGTTCCCGCACACGCTGCTCTGGCAGAGCGGGGGGCCAGACTTTACGAGGGCCTGGCGCAACGGTGGGGATGTCGCGCATCGGCGCCGCGCGGCGGGGCGCCCCGAGGAAGTAGAGAACCGGCCGTCCATCGGCATGGGGATGTGGCTGGCAGGCATGAGTCGCCGAGTGGAACACCAGATCCGATCGGACTGGCTCTTCATCCCAGGCATGCGCAATGTCCACTTCCGCTTTCTGGGCATCGCCGCGAGGTTGGGGGGCAAAGTCAGGAAGTACACGGACGAAGACGGATCGGCTTTCACGGAGCGCCTGACCACGGCTGTCCGCGGGTTGCACGACCTGTTGGCGAAGGGCTACTAGGGGCCGAACAGGCGGCCAATTGCTGGCAACTTGACGGTGCTGCACACGGCGCATGGCCTGGGCACAACCCAGAAACACATCGTGCACAACATGCGCTCAGTGACGAGCAGCCTTGCAGGCACCCAGGAGCTGCGTCGCAGAATGGGCCACGTATTCCAGTCTGGCGCGATCGGTTACGGGCACGGGCTTTTCATCACCATCTCGCCAAATGAGAAGCAGTCCTGCTTGGTGATGCGTCTACACAGAGCACGCCAGGGCGACCCGCTGCTGCGCGCGGGGCGCACAGACGACGCACGGAATGCCATGAGAAAGCGATTGGCGTCACGGGAGTGGCCCTCATTGTCGGAGAGCGCCGACGCGGAGCTCCCCGATTTCGATTTGCGTCTGTGCGAAGTGGCCAATGATCCTCTCTCGGTCGTTCAGGGCTTCCGCGTCGCCGTGAACGTGATCTTGGGCCGCCTCCTGGGTCTGCGGTTGTGCGCCGAGTGCGGCGTCGCGCGAAGATATCGCAGGCAGCCCCGGTGCTGTTGCACGGACAAGTTCGGCTCCAACTCGCGCCCCATGGGCGGCATTTTCGGGGTTGCTGCAGCTTTGCTTGGCGCCGCGCAGTCGAGAACCAGCACCTAGGCGCGCTCCACTTCCACGGGTTCGTGTACCTCGCGAACATGTTCCAGCACGCACCCTTGACTGAGATCGCGAGGACTATTCGGGAGTCCCCCGGGTTGGCGGACGCGGTGAAGGAGTGGCACGCGTGGGTCCACAGGGAAGAGCACTGGGCCCCCGAGGAGCACCGGGAGAGCCTTCCGTCGCTGGAGTCGGAGTGGCGGCAGAATCACCGCGCATCGGAGCACGTAGGTCTGTGTCGGTGGCCCGCGTATGTGGACCATGCCGAGCCGAAGACGAAGTGGGACGAGGGGTGCGATGCCGTTTTCTGCGACGCCGACGCGGCCAGCTTCAAGCAGGCTTACGAGGCAGATGCGCAGATGATCTTCTCGAAAGTCCAGCACCACCACCATCCCAACGGGAGGCCGCTCACACACTGCACCAAGAAAGGCTGCAAACACGGCGACAAATGCAAGCACGGCTTTCCGAAGACCATGCTCCTGGCGGCCCCAGACGGACCGAGATTCCGTGTTGCGTGCCCTCAGGTGGCCAAGGAAGTCGGGCGGAAAGTGAACGGGCCGAGGAATGCGTTGGGCGAGATCGTGGGGCCTCGGATCGACGATTTCTTGAGCGGGACTTGTCCAGCATTGGCGGTGGCATGTCGGAGCAACACGCACACCGCGCCGAACAACCGGCTCCCGCTGATCACAGGCATTCCTCACGACCCGAACTGCCCGTGTCGACACTGCGCCAGAGAAGACACAGAAGAAGGGTACCTTCGACGCATCGCATTCGCGGTGCAGCGGTCCATGTCGAACTCCTCGCGGTACATCGGCGGGTACATTTCCAAGGTGCAGCGCGTCGGGAAGAAGGCGCGGGAACTGGTGAAGACCTGCCTGTCCACGCTGGCCGAGCGACTCCAAGGGAAGTCCGAGATGCAGCAGACGATCAACCCTGTTCACCGCTGCGTCGGGGACTGGGAGGCCAAGGGCGTGGCGCGGACGATCTTCGAGGAGGTGAACTTGGCGCACTTCGCGGACAAGCCAAATCCGCTCGCAGCGGAGTGCATCACGTCGTGCCCTGTCACCGACTTCTACGCGGGCTGCTTCCTCCAGATCGTGACGGACGAGACTCGGGTAGGGCGCGCGACGGCGCGGCGCCAGAAGAGGTCCGTGGTGTTCACGGACGCAGGCGAGGTGGCCACTCCGCCGGACGCGACGGCGCGAGCGTACGCCTACCGACCCAATCATGCCGCTTTGAGCCCGTGCGAGTTCGTCCGCTTGTACGAGGTGGTACCAACGTACCCGCCACCAAGAGATGCTTCGAAGCCATCGACGGGCCCGACGGAGTGGAGGGCGAATTCGCCGCCGGCCGCGGCTGATGGGCCTCCACGGTCTGGGGTCCGCAATGTCGTGAAGCCACCCACGGAGGAATGCAGGTACTTTGCGCTCGAAGAAGATACAGACGACATGGAGTTTGCGCACATGTACGTGATTGTACCCCGGGGCGTCCCCGCGCTACCCGTCTTCATCGGTTCCGTCATGCCGCAGCCCGAAATGACGCCTGAGCGCCGCAGCGCCGTTTTGTCCGCGTACTTCCGACCATGGACACTGGTTTGCAAGTGCGGATCTTCTCGGGGGCCTGTTCCGCGAGCGAAGAGTTTGAAGTTGCCGCCGAGCTTCCGAATAGCCCTTAAGCACTACCTTCGCGGCCGCATCGTCTCGGCGTCCAACCGCATCCTGTGGGCGAACGTGCTTCGCACAGTGACGACGAGGCCGGAGAACGCCGACGAGTATGAGGACGACCAGGACTCGAAGCCAGCGGAGGCGCTCTCCGAGGGCGCGTTCCCGGTTCTCAGCCCCATCGGCATCATGGCAGAGTTGCGGCGAGTGGACAGAGACGCCGGGGCGGGTGCCTCTGGCGAGGAAATTGGCCACCTCTCCCACTCGGTGCACAAAGCGCTGGAGCAGAGCATGTCCTTCTGGGACCCTCCGAACACAGAGTCCATGTGGCGCGTGCCACAGCGCCAGGGTGCTCTTCGGTATCGAGATGCGATGCCAGTGGGATCTCGCTGGAATGCCCGGGAGCCGCCGCGGAAGGCGGCGCGCCTGAAGAAGCTGGAGAGGCTGTACCCTGGCGACGCTGACCTGACAAGCAACATCCAGAGCTTGCGGGGAGGACCGGGGGGGGGGAATCTGGAGACGTGCAGTAACCAAAAGTATGAATTACACACTGTTGAGTCGGGGGCGCCCGTTCCGTTTCGCTATGGAAGCAGGTATCGAAAATGAAAAGTCCTCGGCGTCCGAGCTGGCGTGTCTCCATCCGAGTTTGCACGAAGCGTGTCCTGAGTAGCGTCATGGCGTGAGTTGTGAGTAGATCTAGTTATGCGGAGGGTTGCTGATGGGCTTCGTGTGCACATTTTCGTGGATGTCGTGGATGTCGCAGCGCCCGCCTGCAGTGCCTCGTCCGCGCCATGCGTGTTCTGCAGGAGGTGTGTAGATGCGTTACACTTGCATGCATGTATACATGTGTATAACATTTACGTTTATACATGTCTGAGCACGTCAGGCAGGTGGCATGGCACATGTGGTGCGTAGCCGCAAGGGTTGTGCAGCACTTGAAGATACGGTGGGGAGTTTGCAGGGAGGCCTGCCAATGCGTACCCCTGCCCGATCGCAGGACTTCAGGCGCGCCAGATCACCCCCGACCCCCAGTAGATGGGCATCCTGAACGCCGTCGCCGACAGGTGCGTCCAGCAAGCGAGCGAGCAGGACCAGCCGCGCGGATCGCCATGCTCCAGGCTGTTCGTCCTCGGCCTGCCGGGATCGGGGAAGTCGGAGGTCATCCGGTGGCTGTGCGACGAGGAGGTGGGGTTGTTCCCCACGTGCATGGGATGGGAGCACGAGGTGCACTTCATGAAGACGGCTCCGATGAATTCCATGGCGAGCAACATCGTTGGGCGGACCATACACAACTTCAGCAAGCTTGGAATCGATCTCATCACGGGAGTCCAATCTGGCGGGAAGAAGGACCCGGAGCTGTCGGAGAACTTGCTGCACACGAAAATCCAACACATGCGCTGGCTTATCATCGACGAGGTGGAGAACGTGTCGGTGGAGGCGCCGTGCACAGGCAGGTGAAGGACTCGACGAGGGACAAGGGAAACCCCTGGGCCGTGGACGCGCGCGCCCCCAAACAGTTCGCCATGTTTGGAGGGCTCAACCTGGTGCTGCTCGGGGACCTGTGGCAGATCCCGCCCGTGAGGAGTCTCAGTATTGCCGCCAATCCATTCGTCAAGCGGCCCGCAAACGTTGGCCGCATGCTGGAGATGTTCTGGACCGAGGGTATTCCGCACTCGGCAACTCACCGCTCCGCACTGAGCCAGTCGCACCGCTGCTCAGACCCGTAGTGGAGGAGCTTCCTCGCAGAAGCGCGCGCGGGGGATCTATCGGACAGGATGTGCGATTTCGTTCACGGCTTCCCCATTGATGCGCCCGGCTCCTGGACGCCCGCAAGCCCCGGCAGCGCCGAGCCGTCGACGGGGCACCTCGGCTGCGGAAAGGCGAAGTGCCGCGCGCTCTGGCCAGTTGAGTGGCCACGGATGTTCCGAGAGGGTCGGCCTTGGGACGACATGCGATCTCTGGAGTGCGCTGATTGCAGCGCGGAACGCCGTCGGCGCTGCCGCGTCGCTTCTCAGAGCGATGCCAGACAGCGGGAGGTGAGCACGGCGTTCGCGGACGCGCTGCTCGTGCACCCGTACAACGCACCGAAGAGCAGGATTCTGACGCTGCGTGCGGCGAATGCGGCAGCCAATGCTGGGAAGCAGCTCCTCTGGGTGGTGGCGCGCGATGTCCCCCTCACTCGGGGCGACGCATGCAGGTCGAAGGAGTCGCTCGCCCACGCCGGGCAGAACTGGCTCATGTACCCCGAGAACAAGACTGGCGGAGTTCTGGGTGTGCTGCCGATCTTCGAGGGGATGCGGGCGCGGTTCACCACCGCGGAGAATGCGGAGGCGGGAGCCTGCAAGCACTCCTGGGGTACCGTGAGGGGCTGGGTCCTCCACCCCGACGACTCGAAGTTGGTGAACGAGCACAGGTCCGAGCCGGAGCTGGTTCTGCAGCACGTGCCCGAGGCGATCATGGTGCAAATGCCCGGGAACACGGCGCCCCGCTTTGGGAATCAGCCCGCGGGCGTTTTCCCCGTGAAGCAGAAGGAGGTGTCCTGGGATCGTAGTCCCGGCGTCATGGCCATGGCGAAGCGCGCGGGGTTCCCGCTGGTCCCGCACTTCGCCGCCGCGGCCCACTGCGTCACCGGCGCCGCGCTGCCGCAGGCCATTATCGACCTCCTGGACGCGCGCATGACGCCCCGTGCATCCATGGTTCCCGCGGGCTACGTGGCCATCAGCCGCGCTAGGAGGGCTGACGACCTGATCATCGCGCAGCCTTTTTCGCCCATGCTTTTCCGCCAGGGGCATCAGACGGGCCCATGGCTCTTGCACTCCCTGACAGTCGGGGAGATGACGACGGAGCAGGCGGAAGCCGGCTGGGCCAAGGCAGAGAAGGATACCGCTTCCAGGTCGTCCAAGAAGTTGGTGGGCGCCACTTTCCAGCGCGCCGACTGCCACCAGCGGAAGAGAGCGGGCAACTTCCCAGGACGTGGCATGAGAGCGAGCGACCCCGTGGAGCACGCCGTGGCAGTCCTGAGCCAGGGCGCGTGGAGGAGGTGCGCCCTGCGCGCGCAGAAGCGGGCTGGAGATCGAGCCGCGGGCGCTCTGCCTGCCCGTGCCGCGCCCTTCACTTCGAAGGGGGCGAGCGTCCTCGAGTGCTACCAGCGCGGGCAGCGGAAGCCGCTGGTCCATTTCAATTTCGGAGAAGTCAACGACCTGAAGGCGCGGGGGGAGCTGGGCCGCGCCGTCTGCATCGGTTGCGCTCCAGATCGTCTCAGGTTCAACGTGCAGGCGGCAGGCCGCCTTTTCACGTGCTCAGAGTGCTCGGAGCAGAGGCCGAAACAACAGTTCGACGAAACCTTCTTCAAAAAAAAACACCGCGGATTGAAGAACATGATGTGTACTGCGTGCGTCGATCAGAAGATGATGCCGCTGTGTGAGGGGGGATGCGAAAGGAGGCCTGCCGCTCGCTTGAAGAACGGGCACGCGTACTACTGCGACTCGTGCAAGTACCCGAATTGCTCCACATGCGGCGAGACGCCGCGACCGAAACTGGAGAAATATTCAGTGAAGCGGATGCCGCAGTGGATTTGCGCAGACTGCCGCCGTAAATCGATGCTGAAGTGCGGGAAGTGCGACGCCGGCATTCCGCGAAAAACTGTCGACGCGTCACAGCGTAGCAAACCAGGCGTCCTGTGCTCGAAGTGTCGAGGCAAGCAGTAATGGCTCCTGCACATCCCCGTCTCCTACATTGTCTTCGCGTCTTGCCTACACTCCCGAACCCGCGATTGCCCCCGCGCCATTCGGGATTGCATGTCTTGGAGTGCCCCCGCTGCATATGTTTTACCGCGTCGAGGATGAAGCTGTCGCGACGATGGAGCTGTCGCCGTTTGCATGAGCTGCGTGGAGCGCGGGGTTGTCGTCGCGGCCACTTATCGTGTCTTTGCCAGGAAATGATGTGAAAAAACGGCGCCACGTTGTCGCGAGTGCGCAGGTGGGGAACACGTACAGCCCAGTCGTTGCCGGACTCCTGGGGACTTCTGGGGGACCATTGGGGCGCGGCTTCAGGGCGTCTGTGCGGTTCTCTTGGCAGCTTCCTGGGGCCCTTCTGGCGCGTCTTGGGCTGTCTTGGGGCGCTTTGGGCCTCTGCTACCCCTCCCTCCCGCCTCCCCCCATCCCTTTTCCTCCTCCCCTCCCCCTCTTTCCTTCCAGCGCCAGCTCTAATCACGGGCGCCGCCGTGATCAACTTCCATCTGGCTGGCGCTGCGCCGCGGTTCGCCCAGGGCGGGTGCTTCTCTAATTTCAAAAGCGGCCATGACAGTCCAATCGTTTTTTGGGCTTCGGGGGGGCCTCCTGGAAGCCTTGCAGGGGCAACTTGACTTCTCTTCGGGGCCTCATTGGGGCCTCTCGGGGCTTCTTGGTGGCGTCTTGGGCCGGCTTGGGAGTCTGTGCGCCGCTTGGCCCATCGTACACAGTCCAGCCGTTGTGGGGCCTTTTGGGGGCCCCCTGGCGCCTGTGCGCCGCTTGGCCCATCGTACACAGTCCAGCCGTTGTGGGGCGTTCTGGGAGCCCCCTGGGGGGGTTCTTGGAGGCCTCTTGGAGGCTTCCTGGGGCCTCCTGGGGGCCTCTTGGGGACTTCTTGGGGGTCTCTTGGGGCCTCTTGGGAGCGTCTTGGACCGTCTTGGGGCGCTTTTGCGCCGCTTGGCCCCTTCGGAGGCCTTCTTGGGTGCCTCTCGCGGCCGCCTTGGGGCGCTCTTGGGGTCCTCTTGGACTGTCTTGGGGGCCTCTTGGGCCGTTTTGGGGGCCTTTTTGCGCCTTCTTGGGGCCCTCTGGGGCCGTCTTGGGCCCCCTTTGGGTGTTTCTTGGGCTGACTTGGGGCCATTTTGGAGGCTGCTTGGGCCGTCGTGGGCCTCTGAGGAGCCAACAACGGCGAGAACGTTAAAATCTTTCGAAAGCAATCCGAAAATCTATGTTTTTGGCCTCTGGAGGCCCACTGGTGGGCGTTCTTGGGGCCCTATTGGGCCGTGTTGGGGGCGTTTTGGGCCCTCTTGGGGCCATCTTGGGCCGTTTTGGGGCCGTCTTGTCCCGTCTTGAGACCATCTTGAGCCGTCTTCACGCCCTCTTGGACCCCCAAGGGGGGCCGAAGCAGCCCAAATCATATATTTTCCATTGGTTTTTGTTAGTTTTGAGGCCCAGAAGAAGTGTTCACCACCTTTGGGTCGGTGGATGTGGCGTGGCCTCGGGGGTGGGGGTGGGGGGGTAGGGGGGGGTGTGATGGAGATTCCTTTCGCTTCGCGGGGTGCACGTCCGGAGTACGTACAGTGAGGTCGTACAGTGAGGCGTTTGGAGGGCCTCTTTGGGCCGGCTTGAGCCGTCTTCGGCCGCCTGCGGGCCCTCTTGAGGGCTCACTTGAGGGGTTATTGGGCCGTCTTGGAGCCATTTCGGAGGCTTCTTGGGCCGTGCAGGAGGAATATTTAAAAATAGTCCACGTATAGTTTCGGGGCGATTTGTTTGACTCCAGCGCTGGCTCTGATCACGGACGCCGCCGTGACCAACTTCCATCTGGCTGGCGCTGCGCCGCGGTTCGCCCAAGGCGGGATATTATTGTTTAGTGACTCACCGAGGGTGTTTCGGAGCACGTTCAGTCCAGTCGTTGTGGGGCCTCCTGGGAGTCTCTTGGGAGCTTCTTGGAAGCTTCTTAGGGGCTTTTGGAGCCTCTGGGGGGCCTCTTTGGGGCCTCTTGGGACCTCTTGGGGACGTCTTGGGCCGTCTTTGGGCGCTCTTGCGCCGTCTGGCCACTTCGGAGGCCATTTTGGCAGCCTCTCGCGGCCGCCTTGGGGCTCTCTTGGGGTCCTCTGGGGCCGTTTCTGGGGGTGTCTTGGGCCGTCTTGGAGGTTTTTTGGGCTGTCTCGGGGCCCTCTTGGGCCGTCTGGGGGCCCCCTTGGAGGCCTCTTGGGCCGTTTGGGGGCTTTCTTGGCTTGGGCCGTCATGGCCTTCTGAGAGCAGAAAAAGGCGAGAACGTTGAAATCGTCCCAGAACTACAGGAAAATC